TGTTTCTTGAAAAAAGAAAATGGTACTGATTAAAAACCAATACACCTGATTTGCTAAAAAAAACACCTACCATGTACACATACACACTTAAACTCACAAAGAGCCTCTGCCCCAAACTCATACCCCATGGCTCATATCCATGGTGACTGGCACCAAGGGGATAGATAGGAAAATGTAATTCTCAACTTAAACTATTCACTCAAGAATTTCATCTTTATTAGTTATTTGTCACAGGTACTTAATTACTATGGCATCAGTATCTTTCCAATGTCTGTATCTGCACATTTTCCAGATGCCTTTCTACTGAACTAGAGAAAGTACAGGGCCCAAATTTTTGTTTTCTCTTTTAATGAGAATTCTGTAATCCCATACTAAATAACTTTAATTAGTTTTACTAGAATAAATCATTATATTTATGTGGAGTAAGAACAATTGAGAAAAATGTTTTCCATCCTTGTAAGTCCTGGAAATATCATGTACTTCTAAAGCTATCTCACTTTCCACAAAGTATGACAAGGAAAAACGTCCTTTAAGTGGAAAACACCGAGTGTTATAAAATTCCCATTTCTAAAATGGCAGAATGACAAAACTCCAAAGCAGAAACACAGTACTGTATCTCGAAGAAACACACGCACATTTGTATCTAAAGTCTCTAAAGCACTGCTCCTAGATGTTTCGGCAGGCAGCCCCACACTGCATTCAGCAAGGCAAGCTCACCAGTGAACAAGTAGGGAAGGTTAGTGAAACAGCTGCTGGGCAGAAAATCATATGGTGACCGATCCCCAGCCCTGTGCATTATCTAGGAAATTAGCCAGGTTTACTAAGAGATTTAACACAGATACAGAAAAGATTCTATCATCTAGTATCCCACTTAAAACAAATTTCAGATGTGATAAGCCAAGATGTAAAGTACAATCCGTTCATATTCTAGACATGTCAAGCCATCTCATCATAATCAATCATAATAAATGTCCCAAGCAAGAAAAGAATTAGCAAAAGAAGCTAAAATAAGTGGATGAAAGTACGAGAATGAGAATATTTACACAGTTTTAGATTATCTCCAGTCTTCCCACAAGTTACTTACTCATTACAAAGGAAAAACAGTAACTTTACAGTGGAGGGGTTACCCTAATCAGATAATCAAAGCAACCCCACCAATACATGGTATGAGGAGACAGCCGGAGAGAAGGACACAACAATCACTTCCGTGATTTTTCTGCCCAAACTGCATAGTCTGAAATCAATCCTGAGTAAGTAACAGACAAACCAAAATTAAGGGAGATGCTACAGTCACTGGCCTCCACTCTTCAAAAATATTAAGGTCCTGAGAAATAAAAACAAATGGAGGAATTGTTCCAGATTCAAGGTGAAAAAAACTTGAAAACATAAGATAATGTCATAGACCAAGATAAATATAATTTTTAAAGGAATTCAGTAGGACAATTAGTAAATTTAAACTGCATAGACTGGAAAGGAAAACTCATCATAAATTTCCAACTTTCTGAAAAATCAAATAATCTCAAAGTTTTCTTTTAAAAGTAAAATGTGTTCAGCTCAAAATGTCAGCACTACTAATTCTACTAAAAAAAGGAACACAGAACCTGCAGTAAAATGAATGCCTCTCAAAGAATTCCCCCCACTTCTGGTGGGTGTGCTAAGAAATAGAAGAAGACAAAAAAGAAAATGCACAGCAGCTAATAGACCACACGGTGCCCACATTTTAATAATACTGTAGCCTAGGCCTTGCCTTACCCATTCCTCTTTCCTTAAAGGTAAAAGCCTCAGAAAATTGGCTGACCTGGGAACTCTGCTTTCACAGCTGCCATGGATTTGGAAAATCATATAATATACAATTCTTAGGTCTTCTAAAGGGAAGGTTAGGTAACCAATGACAATGAGAAACCAGTTTGTCAAGTCCTGTAATACTGAACAGACCAATGAAATTCATAGCACTTATAAAAGCAACAGGGCAGCCATACTCGGGTCCTGCTGATTTCCCTTACTTAAGTGTCTGTAAGTCTTAAGTGCAATACTGTACTGGAACTATCTAGCTGTCTCCAGACCAGCCAGCATCCAACAGCAACCAGTAACACACTGCCAGAACTTTTAAAGGGATTCATGAGACACCTGTTTAACACGTACCACAACACAGAATACTTTACCATCACTAATACATTTAAGCAGTAGTTCTCCAAAAAGTTTTGTTTTGAGGCTTCCATCGGCTTCTACAACCCCTTACTTAATTGTGATACAGACCTGTGACTGGTTGTCACTGCTTGTGTGCTTTCCAGGCTCTGAAAGCCCCCTCAGCTCTTGAACCACTCTTCTGTACCCCCATAACATGATGTCTTGGTACACAACTACACCTTAGGGTTATGACTGTTACCTACCCTCTGGAGTCTCTTCCAACCCCATAAGCACTGCCTGTCCCTACCACTCCCTGATGTTTTTCATGGGCACCTTTACACAATGTGGAGGTTAGATACACTACTGGTGTAAGTCTGCTATCTCATGGGTTAACTATACATGCAAGCTGGCCAAGAAACTAAGCCACTTCCCCAAACAGCACTTCTGTGGAAATATAAGTCCCAAGTGACAAATAGTTTACTTACCAACAAACAAAAGACACTACGTTGAATGGACTTTTTAAAAGGTCATCTTTGATACATAGCTCACCGTGCAGGAATAAGGACCCTTATCTTACTAATACAGTAGCAGCCACTGTAACAACCAACAAACACTGAAACCCCACTGAGTTTGTGAGACCACTGAACACACTTTAAAATTCACCTTCTTACAATATAATACCTTCATCTTTTTATTTCAAAATACACAAATAAAATACTATGTGAAAGGTATAACCAACAAAACAAAATAGGGCTCTTTTTGTATATGTCAAGCTATAAGCACAAGAAGTATTATAATATAAGAAAGGAGAGCATTTTTCAAGAAAAGAAAGCAAAAATGCTAAATTTTTAGGGTACAGCAATTTTACTTCTAGTTATATACTCAAAAGAACTGAAAGCAGGGATTTGAACAGGTCTCTGGACACTCATGTTCATAGCAAAATTATTTGTAGTAGTCAAAAATCTATTATGGCTGAAATACCAAGTTTCAGCTATGTGCTAAAGGATCGGTTATCAGCCGATGGACTTTTGGGAAGGGACTGAACCATGAGGTCTCTTGCTTTCTTTCACTTCCTGACTGCCAAGAGGTGATGCTCTCGTCCATTAGGCCCTCTCCACCATGATCTGTCTCACCACAGGCCCAAAACCAACAGAGCTAAGCAACCACGGACTGAAACCTTTGAAAGTATCAGTCAAAATAAATCTTTTAAGTTGATTTTCCCAAGTATTTTGTAACAACAATGAAAAGCTGAGTAATACAAGGTGTCCAGGGGCAGCTAAATGCATAATCAAAATGTACCAAACACTGAGAATGTAACATGTATGTATGACAGAGTATTAGTTTTGAAAAGGAAGTAAATTCTGATACATACAACACAGAGGACTCTGAAGACATTATGGCACCTGAAATACACAGACACAAAAGGACAAATACGTCACGATGTCACCTATAAGAGGTACTAGAGTGAAATTCAGAGACAGAGAAAAGGCTCCCAATGAGAAGTCACTATTTAATTGGTACAGAGTTTTAGTTTTCCAAGATGAAGAGTTCTGGAGACGGGTGGTGGCTGTACAACAAACTGAATGCACTTAAGGGGTGAAGATTTTTATGTCTACTTTACCACAGTAAAAAATACTTTTAAGAAATGTAAGCTTGCTCTTTGAAAAGTCACAAAACTGACACTTAAACTTACTTCTTGCAAATGTTCCTCACTGGGGCCCAGGGCTTTACAATTTCCTTTATATTAAGCATTATACACAGGCATACATATTATGCACACAAGTATTTCACGTGGGACATGACTTTAAAAGGTATAAAGAAAAAAAAGATAATTTTCAATCCATATGCCTCTCTTCTGAACCTGTTTTATTTTTCTACATTAAAGGTATAAAATTTACAAGATCATTAAAGCCTGAGGCCAAAAACAGGGGAGAAATCACATGTAAAAATTCCACCAAACAGCCTTCAATGAATGATTTTTTGGGGGGGTGGGGATGGGAGAAGAGTGTACGTTATTTGCCAAGAACAGACTACTGAAATAAAGTTATCTTGAGTCTCAGAAAGAAAATTTCACGTGCTTTGAGTTAGAAAACTGAGCATGGCCCAGATGACCCATAATGGTCTGCATGAAACTATTACCAGAAAGAGTAATGGTTTGAGAATGGAGTAAAGGAAGAAGGATCCCGGCACTAAGGATACAAACTAGGGTAGAGACATTTAAAAAAAGAACAAAAAGGAATTACAGAATAACAATAAAACATATGCCAATATGAGCTCTTCATGAGGTTAATTCTCAACTGCAGGCACACCCTCCCCACCACACCCCTTCTCAGAGAGTAAAAGATTTTCATGAGGCCTTCTGTAACAGGAAAATGAATATTTAGTTTACACAGTAGTTTTGTATTATATAGACTATAGCAGAAAAGACTTCAAATTCTCTAGGGCTGGGAAAGTGTATACAAAATAGTACTCATTAAGAAAGCATGTCAGCAAGGGTTAAGAAAAGGTTGAGGGCTGTGACCTTAGAACATACAACTACCCTCGGGGGGAGTTAGACTTAAAGATATAAATGGAAAAAGAAACCCCACCTGGAAAAAAATCTCTCTAATCTCGGTAAAGCTAGGGTTGAATATCAATCATGGATTATTTCTAACATTAAGTTTTAGACCAGCAAATTTAAGAACACTAAAGATAAGAGTAAAGCTTAGTACTTTACAAAATAACAACAAAAGCACCAGCAAAAGGGGGGGGGTAAAAAGGAAAGTCTTAAATAAACTATTTTAATATTGACTTTATTAATGAACATAAAAAGAATGAAGACTCATTTTAGAAAAAACTAGAAACAAAGATAAAGTATAATTAGGTTGACTCACCTCTCGAGTAGCTAGCTGGTTGCTCAGTTCCTCAGCCTTCTCAACATCCCACTCATCCACAGCCTGGTCTATCCTCTTTTCAAGGCCTGACTAAAAAGAAAAGAATCCTAAAAGTTAAGGGCAGGAAAGAAATGTAACAATTTGCTAGCAAATATTATGTCATAGTAGTACACTAAATCCAATACATGTGGAGACCATTTAACTCTCACAGTAATCCTACAAGGTTGTTGCTACCATTACAATTTATGGATAACAAGTCTTAAAAACATTAATGACTTACCCGAGGTTATATAATATCTTGAATTAATAATAAAAAGGAGGTACAGATTCAGAATCTTAATCCAAAGAATTCCCTTAACGACAACATTAATGATAGTAATAGTTAAAACTTATGGAGTGATTATTACGTGGTAGACCCTGGGCTTAGCTATTAAGAAAGCTCATTTAATCCTAACAACTCCATGAAACATCCTGCTTGAAAGACAAGGAAACAGCCTTAACTCCCCATCCTGGTCAGAGTCAGAGTACCTAAGGATAAAGCAGTGAGGCCTACACGGTTAACCACACCCTTCCCCACAGCTCAGGACCATGGACACTAGGCCGAATGTTAAACATGGGAGCAAGTTACATAAAATCATTTACTTTTCCTATGGAGATGTTTTAATTTACTAAAGATGCTTCAAGAAATCATAATTAAAATTTTATGATTACCAGGCTAGGTAGGACTCAGCATGAATCTATGGAAAGATGTGTTGACATTAATAAAATGATTCTAGTTTGCAAAACTACTACAGACTAAAAACTTTGAAAAGGTCTACTAACATATACTTTTTATAAAAAAAGTTTTATCCTAACAATGGCTACCTAGTATATCCTTAAGTTTCCAAGTATTCAGTTACAGACTGAGCCCCCCTTATTTAATAACAGAAGTACTAAGCATGTCTCCCCCATCAGTATATTGCTTGATTACCAGTCAACTAGAGCAATTTTGTTCCTGTGTAGCCTTTGCTAAAATGAAACTTTAAAAGCAACATAATCTGCCTAAAAATCAGCAGAGAAGCCAAAGTCCAGTGAGGTTATCACTGCTGTCTGTCCTGATGTGAAGACTGTTAGTTCTTATTGTGCATTCTGCCACAAGCCCCTTAGCTTTAGAGGGACCAAAGTAAACAGCTCATGGACTGGTACTATTCGCAGACCACTGCTGGTACCTAGAATCGATTTGATTAGTCAGTAGTCATTATAAATAAAATTTAACTTCCAAGTCAGTGAGAAGCCTCACAGGATTTGAACTCAAGAGTGGCCTTCATCTGACTTGTCCAGGACATTTTACATACCAAGGGAGTGGCCAGTGGCATAGGGTACTACTAGTAGTTGCAGTGTCTTGCTGTGCTTCTAAGGTGTTATTCAGCTAGAATCAGAACTTAACACACATCTCAATGCAGACAAATTTAGGAATGGCAATTTGGCCACAGGTGGGAAATGTATCTAAGGGTAGTTATCTAACAGGTTCCCATGAGGTAACAACCAAGATCTAATTAATAAAGTTTCCTTGCTGATGTCAAGAAGGTATGACTACAAAACAAACATTAAATTTACTGGTACTAGGTTTAACACTATGAACTAATCATCCATACATGCATAGCAGAATATCTTTTAATATGTGATTAAAGCTCTTTTAGCCAAGCTGTACCACATTTCCATAAAAATTATACTACTAAATATTTATTCATCTGGATAACATTTAATTTTTAAAGCATAATACAAATAACTTATATACCAAAAGAATGTTTTACTATGACTGAACCTAAATATCTAAGGGAAAAAATGAGGCTATTTCTCCATAAAGGAGGAAGGGGGTGACCTTTTATACAAATATGAATCTTATTTATTTTATTTATAAATCTTATTTATGATTTTGTTACCTATATATATAAATTATACTCATTTAAATCATTTGAGTTAAATAAGTATACACAGATCAGCTACAGTATTCAGAAAACGCTACATATGGAACCAAATGACTTGACTTTAGGTATCACTTCATTCCTTATTTGTTTGTTTTGTTAGGCAAATTATACTAAGCTTCAGTTTCTTCATCTGTATTATGAGAATTGGCACTGGCCCTGCCTACCCAGCCCACAGGGATCACAGAGGGATCAGAGACAACACTTTGTAATTGATACCAGGGGAAACTCATGATACCACAACACTCCCACACTCCTATACCTCCCCTGCTGCCCCCTCAAGGCAGTCAGGCTTTTGTCTGACCTGTGTACTGCAGTTCCACGTAAGAGTCTAGACGGAACAAGTATTCCACTTAAAACAAAAGTTTGAAAAAGACACACTGTGCAATAGCAGTTTCCTCTCATAAACAACTTAAAAAAAAAAAAGACATACAAATACTCCAACAATTCTTAAAAATAACTCTAGTTTTCGTGCCAAAAAGTATCCACTACTTTTTGGAACTGCTGTAATAATGACTGTTGACTAATCAAACTGATTCAACTAAAGAATACTGGAGACATTTACAGTGAAATTAATGACTGAAATTTATTCTAAAGAAATTCCCACATAGATCCAAAATAATAATTCCCACATAGATTCAAAAATAATTATGTTATGATTACGGAATTATTAGTAAGTCCCAGAACTGCTGCCAGAAACACAATTATAGCTGTATTTAATACAAAGAACACTTTAAAACAGCTTTGGATATTAGGAAGATTACATTGTAAAATACAAGCCTCTTTGCATTGTCTGGCAAGCAGGTGACAGCGGTGTTGTAAATACACATTCTGGGCTGAGCAACCGTTTCAGCGTGGCAGTGTTCCAAAAAAGGAAAAGAAAAAACATTACACGATAGACATAAGATTAAGAAGTTTGTTTTGCTTTACTGTTCTTCAGAGCTGAGTGAATACAAAATAAAAAGGCCAAGGTATGGTAACAGATCAGCCTCTGCTCTAGAGAAATAAAGTAACTGACTGGAAATCCACGTCAGTATTGTTCACAATGCACCACAGCTTTTCATGATCCTCACCAGAGTGAATGAGCAGTACCTACTATCTCCTGGACTTATATTTACTTGTAGCTTTTATCTTGGCCCTCCAATGTGGACATTCTTTACTGTTTATTTACTCTATTAGATTCACAGTAGAGACTTGAGCCCAACAGTGTAAGGGTGACACGTAAAACTATGATCCCAAACCAAAGAATCAGTGTGGACTTGCTGGCATGCAATTATACTGAACTCCCAAGAGAATATAAAATAATTTGGCCTCTATAAACCCATTCTTTCCTTTTATGCTTGCATTTATTTGTAGAATATTATGTGTTGGCAAAATCCTGAACTGACACAAGCCTGACCAGCACCAGTTTCCTTGTTTAGAAGACTGGCATAACTTTCCTATCTTAGTTCCACAAAGGAATGCTGTCATTAAGCAAATCCAAAGCTATAAAACAGATCAATAGGTGACTTACAGCCACTTCCCTTAAATAGAGATCTCACTCTTAGAATGGCATCTGACTTATAATATTCTTGTAGAACACATCGAATGCATAATGTGAAAGAGAACATTAGTTCTTAAAACTGAGTTTAAAAGACTTTGTACTACAATAAATCCTAATATCCTGTACTAAACATATTCCAAATTTAGATAATGCATAAGAGCTAGCCATATTTGGCCAGTAACAAAAAGATATAATTTCATATGCAATGGGACAATAAAATCCTGGTAAAGATAGACTCTAAAAAACATCCTCTAAATTTTTACTTTTTAGAATGGCTAAAAAGTTCATTTCATGGCTTTAATTTCACCAAGAAATAATTCAGGCATTGTAGAGTCAATATAATTATGAAAAAAAACTAATAAATACTGTAACTACAAAGACTAATTTACAAGTAAAACCTTAAAAATATTCCTAGTAAAAAAACTAGGGTTGTAATCATTTGTTAAGATGGTAACTAAGCACATATTCATCACTGCTCTCCACAGCATGGCTTACTTTGGACACACATACATATTTAACCTGTCAATATTCCTCTATGTGACTCACGAGTTACTCTTTCAAGACTTTACTACACTCTACAGACTGACAACTTCATTTCTCAACCTTCGCGTCTCCAGAACTCCTACACATTTTACTAACCATATACTGTGTCGTGTGCCACCTAGTACACAAAATGAACTCTGCATAGCCTCCACTCTGACATCTTTTCCCTTCCCAGTCTTTCTCATCATCGTAAGTATCACTGTGCCCACCACTGTTTAGGGCAAAACCCTGCACCACTCTCTTCCTCCTTATGCCCCAAGCCCTCCCCAGCAATTCATACACAGTGCACAAGCAAACACTGTTGATTCCACTTCCACACTATTGTTCAACTTCAAGTTTTCTCCATCTTCAGCAGCACCATTCTTGTTCAATTCAACATTATCTTGTGGAAGGAATCAAACTCATGACCCTGTCTGCCAGGCAGGCACTGTGCCACTAAGCTGTATCTCCGGCCCCAGGAAGTTTCTTAACTGTCCTCTATCTACTTCTGTGGCCCCATAATGTTTTCTCCACATTTAATAACCAGGACAATTTTTTTAAACATAAATTCGATTACATCGCTGTACTGACTTAAAACCCCTTAAAGATGCATAATCGCACTGTAAATAAAAACTACTTCCTGTGTCTCCTGAGGTTTTATCCAGTTTGGTCCCTCCCTGTCAGCCCGACCAATCTTACCTTGGGGCACCCTTGCTACGCTGACTGGACTGCAGCCAGGCCGGCCTTCTTATTTTCTCAAAGCCCCAGGATAACTCTTCCTTAGGATCTTCACGCATGTTACTGCCTCTGCACAATCACTCTTTACGTAGTTTTTTCCCCCAACTCTGCAGGTTTCACTGAAATGGTATCTTGTAAGAAAGGCTTTCCCTGACTACCCAAACTCAAGTGAGGGTCTCATTTCATTTTTTCACTATGACCTATTCTTTTCCTTTCTAAATTTTTTAATAATTCATAACTACACATCTACCTGTTTCTCTGGCATCTTTTCGGTACACAATGGTTGTTATAACTTTCTAACCAAATGAACTAATGAACAAGTACCTCAGACAAGACTAATCATAAACCACTTAATACCAAATGCAGTTTAAAAGATCTTACCTTTTCAACCTTTTTCTTTTTAACAGGGGGTTCAAATCTATCATTGGCTCCAAAGTACTGAGTAAGCTCCTTCCACTGGGTTTCATTTAAGGACTGCTCACTGCAAGAAAATCAATTAAGTTTTGTTTTGCTCATTTTAATTTTACTGTTTTATTTGCTACAATTACACAAAATCATACATACAATTCTTTATGTTTGATTAGTATCAGAAATGAGTACTAAAGTAAGTATTTTTAAATTCTACCTACTTTTGAGATTCTTTTTCATTCTTCAGTTTATCTGAAAAGAATTCACAAAACATCAATACTTCAGTTATTTCAAATCACATTTTAAAAAATTACTTAATTCAGGGCTGGGGATTTAGCTCAGCGGCAAAAGCGCCTGCCTGGCAAGTGCAAGGTCGTGAGTTCGGTTCCCACTACCGGAGAAAAACCGAAAAACCAAAAATTACTTAATTCAATTACTCACAATTTAGCACCAGAACTCCTGACAATCTGAATTTAAAGAAAAAACAACAACACCTTTTCTGGAGCGTTTTCTCCTTTTCCCTCTGAATCTTGAGGTTGAAGTTTTCTGTTCAGAATGTTTTTTATGCAGTTCTTGAAATTTCTACGTGAAGTTTAAAAAAGAAACAAATACACTGAAGAAAATCATGTATTTTTAAAATAACAAATATGTCAAGTAGTAAAAACATTCTGACATTTATAAAGATATCAATGAATGAAAATAGGAAATACTCTATTACTGGGATGCTCACAACCTAAGCTTGATATTCTTTACTTCTGGTGTTAAGTTGTTTGATAATTGAGAGTGAAACTAAATGACTCAGATAAACAGATAAAGTGAAGTGAGAAACCTTTCTCAGGTCAGGCACAGCAGTTAATTCTACATAGTATTTTTTTCTTACCCTTTTAATGAAAAACAGCAACAAAAATCAAAATATTAAAAGTATCTGCAGATTTAGAGAACAGTGAAAAAACATTCTGGGCCCACCTTCCCTACCTGCTACATCCCAAGAACATACATTCTGACCACAGTAGAAAACCCAGAAAAACACACACACACATACAGGCTTTCATAAAGGCACATCAGGAAAAACTTACATTCCACATATTTAAGGGAATTCCAGAAGGGCACTCTTCATATGCATTTGCTTTGGTCTCTGTTTCAGGTTTTGGTTCATCTGCCGAGCAACCTGCGATTTCTGTTTCTCCAATGGTCCCATCCTCTTTATCTTCCTGTAAGTTATGATCAAAGTTCTGTACTGTGGGCTCATCTTCAGAATCCAACTCAATATCACTTTCATTGAGGCCAGGAGGCAGCAGTCCGCTCCACATCTTTTCTTCTAGAATGAAAAGGATGAGCTAAGACATAAACAATAGCACTGGAAACAATTTTAAACCATTAAAAGACAGCCCAAGAGCCTAATAAGTCTATCACTGGTCTAGGAACAGTCCATATAAACTTTTTTGTCTGTTAAACCTTAGAACCCTCTATATTAAAATAGCTAGAATCTTCACTTGTATAAGTTAAAAATAATTAAAAGCAATTTAAATGAGTGTTTCAAAATATGTCTAAAGGTAAAAAAAAGAAAATAAAATCATGACTTTTTAATATATAGGTAATTATTTTTCTTAAAAACACAGAAATTCAATAAAATATCCATTGCTCAAGAATGTCAGAAACCAGTGTACTTTTCAAGCAGTATAGTTACATTTCTAGCTATACCAACTAGACAGTAGAATAAAGATGGATATTTCCCCTATATTTGAATGCAGAAAACTTTGAGGGAGCTTATTGTGTAAAGAGCACGGAGACAAAAAAATCTAAGCTGATCGATCAGTTGAAGAAGTATAAAGAATATCCTACTTTTAAATTTTACACTGTTTGCTAATACTAAATGAACTGTAACAATTTAACAGTATTGTACATACAGCTTTTTTGAGTGAAATACTGTATTTGGGAAATTAATGTTAAAATTCAGGATGACATTGTACTTAACATTAGTTGCACAGTCCATGGATAGAATCATTAATTATTACTAAGTTTAATAAAAATGATATTTTAAAATCACAGTTGGAATCACTTGCTAAGATGATAACTAAGCACATATTTATCACTGGTCTCTGTAGCACAGCCTACTTTTCACATACACACTGAGCCAAATCAGTTCATTCAAAAGATGTCGAGAATAAAGGAGCTGGTTGTACTGCTCATGACTTACTATCACTCTGAAGGGGTAGGACAGAAATCTGTTTTGCTAAGATTGCTACTAAAAATTTTAATTAACCAAGGAATCAAAAACCATTTCCATTATATCTGTGACAAAAACATCAGAGGGTTTGCAGTAATCTCTTTTAAGAACCTCCTCCCAGGTCCAAAGAATCAGATTTTATGTTTCGTGGTTTTGGTCCAGCTTCACTAGTTGCTGGTTCTCTGAAACACCCTAAAATATTCTCTGGGCTTTTTAAGAAGAAGGACTCTGGAACTCCTCCAACTAGATTCCAGGCTCCACCACCCACTAGTGGTGTAAGGAAATCATTTATCATCTCTGACCCTCAGTTTCTTGATCTGTAACACAGGGATAATTATACTGCCTACAGGGTTATTCCAAGGATTAAATGAAATAAGGCACTCAACCAGTATTCAGAAGATCCTAGGAGTTCAATAAATGGCAAGTTCCTTTTACTATTATTATTTCTGTGGCTATGTATCACACTTTTATCATTTCTATTATGGGTGACAAGATTCAAAATATAATTTTGAAGTTTCTTATATTTACTCACTTAGCAACTGATAAAATTATTCATTTCCTTATTTCCAGGCTGATATAAAATTTCTACTAAAAAACTTTGTGTTTGATTTTCTATATAGAACAATAAAATGAAAGGTAAATTACCATGCAGATGACAGAGCTCAAACTTCAGTTCTCCTCAGCTGTGCAGGCCCTTCCAAAGAGCATAGCAGTATATTTTCTATTCAGAATTTCTACTCGTTTTTTTCTTTTTTTTTAAAGCAGAGACCCAAAATTTTACAAGCTCCAAGCCCCATAAAACCCAAACCCATTCCTAAATCTAGCCTGTGAATGTTAAAAATTGCAACAGAGGCACTCTTGAGATACTTTGATAGTATAAAAGACAACATATAAAAAATGCCGATACTGGAAAATGACTACTATCCTATTAATAAAAATATTTCTACTGTTCTGAGGAGCAAGGAGTGGAGAGCAGTAATAAGCTCCAACACGACTTTGCCACTGCCATAAAAATATACCTGCAGGCTCATTATCCATTTAAGGACTTGAGGACAGTAACAAATTTCAGATTTAATTTCTTAACATAAGCAGGGTCTGTGTTAACAGTTTCTTTTCCTGTCCATGGCACTTTTACACATTCACTGTGTGCTGAGCACTCTTTCAGACCTTGGAAGCAGAAGGACACAAAACAGTCAGAAAGCCTTAACCTCACAGGAAGACAACTACATACAGGGTGCCGCCAAGTGCCAACTCAGTTTGCATCTTGCAGGGCACGTTTTCCCCACAGGGCAGTTGCAAGGTGCCTGCTAGATCACTGTTTTTGCATCTCTGCAGGAGGACGATCTATACCAGTGGTGCAAACCTATGGCACACATGCCGCAGCCAACTGTTTTGTATCACTGAAAGCTCTAAAATGTTCGCCATCATTGGCCTATGCTCTCAGCACCCAAATGTGCCTCCTCCTGGGGCACCGTCTCAGTTGCTTCAAAGGTCTGCTTTTCCTCCACAGGTGTTTAGTCCACACAAGCACACTGAGGCAGAAAATAGTATATCAATAATGGGATAGTCATCCGTTTTTTTTTATGGTTTTTTTGGACTTTCTCAAAATTACTTTTAGTTGCAACTGACAAGGCATGAAAAACTGTATTCAAGATAACATTTGCCTAACATGATGAATTGAGTGTACTGAAAGAAAAAAGAAAATTAAAACAATTTTAAAAAGTGGAACCCACCTTCAAACCCATAAAACAAGGCAAAATTCAAATAAGGTATGTTTCTGAACTTAGTTCTTGAAAATCTTTACTCATGTGCCATTTTGTTATGACTGTTAAAAGCCAAAACAAACAAAAAGAAAGACTCTGTAGTCACTGATAAGCACAGATAACTGCTGCCATTCCCTATGGAGCATTCAAAATGGAAATGCCCTATTGAGTAGCAGCTCATCTTTAATCAGTCAGTATGGACTGGCTTAGGGACTTCTGTTGTGGGCCTCTGTTTGAAAACACTGTTTTTCTATACATAACATATGTATGTCATTCATGCATTTTCTAAGTGGCACCATGTCTGGCCTCCTGTCATCCCTGTTTTTGGCTGGAGAATGACTTTTCTTTAACATGTCTCTTACTCATGCCTTTCACAGTGTATTTCTTTGTTTTAAAGCAGATAACTCCAAATTACCATTTAACTGAGAAAATTTACTTAGACATTCTCAATAGATATGTAATACCAAAAAAGTAGAAACTCTTTTAAAATGTGCATTATAGCCAGTCTATACAATAGCCAAAATATCAATTCATAAGCTTTTTTTTTTAGTCCATATCCCAAACACCTTAGTAATTTTAGTCCCAACACCTTTTTTCTCTATAGTTTTGAACATCACATTATTTTATACACTCTTCACCTCTGGATTTAATATTTCTTCAAACCCACAATTATCCTACAAAACGTTCTGTATGACTATGCAGAACATCTTAGCCCTGGGCTGACACTACTATAAACCAAAAATATTTCTGAATTAAACTGGTCTGAATAGCTATGTATTCTTTTGCCCCTGAAAACCGATCATAGTCATTATTTAGCATACTTGGGCAGTGGGGCACTGGTTTAGCAGTTCCTATTCTATATCATGGCAAGAACTAGAATCACTAAGTTAACTTAAGTATTTTCAAAAACCCAACATATTTTTCCTCCCAGTGAGAAACAAATAATCCACCCTTAGGTGAGGAAATTTAAATTCAGTGAAGCGTTCATCATTCCTTAGCTCACTAGAGACGCTGATTGGAATCTATAGATCTGACTTTTATAAGAAAAACAATGAACACAGTTTAGTAAAACACAATCTTTCAAAATGTAGGATCCATAGAGATTTCAAATTGTAACAACAAGAGTACCAGACTGTGCAGGAACTGGGAACTACCCTGTTTACAGGGGCAAAACCTCTGTCTTCAAAGTCAGATCTTTCTAGTCCAAAGCAAGTCACTGTAATTGTCTGGGTCTCCTTCCTAAAGCTCTAAAAGGAATGTGGGATCAGATGATCTGAGAGAGCTCTAAAATGTTTATGATCTTAACATGATTTAAGTGATCCCAGACACCCAGGGGTACCTCACTCCTCGCTGTAACACTCCCTTTACTTCCAGTATATGCAATACTGACTAAATCCCAGGAGACAAGTCTTCCATGCTCTACCTACCAGCCCAGCTAAGATTACTAGTTTCAGAGAATCTGTACATCAGGACACTGAGAAAGGAAAGGAAACCACAGCTAGAACAGAACACAGAGAGAATAGAAAGGGAAATAAAGCAGGTCATCGTCACACATGGCACACAAACAATGTGGCAGGCACTGGTTTACCATTAATCCTCACAACAATCTCTTCACTAAAAATTACTATCAATACCCATTTTACAGATGAGGTAACTGACTTGCCCAATACATTGTGACCCATTTCTTTTACAAAAGTAGCACCCTGTGGCTTTAAATTATGAACTTTTAGAGAGCAGAGCGGTGAGAGGTAACATTCTTGAGAAGTCAAAGATTTAAGAGTGAATCCAAAGAATGATTCTAGCCTATAAGTACAAACTTGCTAAAATTTAGTTAGGATTTTTTTCCCTGTAGTTTTAAAGTACAGAAATCTATGTGAGGTGTTACACTAAACTGTACACGGGCAAGTCACAGAGATTTGAGTAATGTCATATTTTCTGGAAGACCAGGCAGCTGCCTATAAACAAGACCCCAAAGATATAATCTGAACAGATCAATGGATAAATGTTTCCTGTCTCTAATAGACCGGAAGTAAATTCTATTAGCAAATGAAGCTATCTTATATCCTGTATTTTGTATTCAATTACAAATAATCACAGAAACCTGAATCTTGGCTAATCTAAATATAGTGGTACTTGTGAAATAACTACAAGCCACTATCCACTCATCTTAAAGATTTCGTTAAATAATTATACATAGTTTCTGTGCTTTGGAATTACTTAACTAAAATATTTGCTAGCCTGTAATATCAATATTAATGTAAATGTCCTATTTACTTTTATGATACAAAGAGATACAGACAATGTAACTGAAGCATACAGCTGAGTTAGGATTTAAATTGTCATTCTGCTTACCCAGATAAATATTTAGCAGGATTCTGCATGTATGCACGTGTTTAATTAAAGACAGTGTTTGTTTAGACGGGGCCTGGGAAACACTTCCCCAGACCCTCGACCTCGCACGGAAAGATTTACAATTAACCAGTAAGATTTCAAGGCTCACTTTAAGTCGATGTCGCTGTGAGAATACTTACAAGCTTCAAGACTGCAAGAGGGTGGCTCTAGGAGGGTACACCTTTTCCTGCTTGGCGGCACAACCCGGAACTCAGCAGGCTCTCTGACGGCAGTGCCGCACTCCAATCCCCAAATGGGGAGAAGGCCCTCCTGGCCCCAGAACTAAGCGCCACGGGTTCGGCGTAGGAAGTCTAGCCTGCCGGCATTCCCACTAACTGAAGCGGCTCTCCCGGATACAACAACTGTAAAGATGAGCCTGTTTCCTTGTTCAAAAGCTCCTCGCCCTGTCTCACTCTGGCGGGGTCGGGACAGGGAAACCTTCTCCCACTGACTGGCTGGGGAAGGCGCCGCGACGCCCCCTCCGAGCCGAGCGGATGGCAGCGCTCCCGTGGACCGCGCGCGAAGCTTTCTAGACCATCCCCGGCACTTCGGCCAAGGAACTGTGAGGAGGCTCAACCCGGGCCCCTCTTCTCCTCTCACGGGGTGCCCCCGGACCGTCAGGCCGGCGACGAAGCCGGGGAGAACCAGCTCTGCAAGAAGCCGCACTCACCGATCAGGAAGCGGACTCCCGGCATCCATTTTAAGACCTCGTCAACATCGTGCCTTCTCATTGGCGGTGGCGTCTCAGCCAATGGGCTGGGGCCGTTCTGGTCCTGGGGTCGCCATGGTGACGGCCTCGCTTGGCTTCCTTTTTCCGTTGACCTGAAAGAGGCGATTTCTTCTCTTTCCCCTCCTCTTTTCTTGGTTTTTCTCTTTATACTGAACGCTTTTAAGGGCTTTGGGTTTTTTTTTTTTTCACCTTCCTTGCCGTCCCTTGGTGTCTCAGGGTGAGGAAAGTGCTGACTTCCATAGTGAACTGAGTTCTCAAGAAGACCAAATTGTAGATGCTCTCTGTGCTTTCTGGGACCGTTTTTATTCATCTATCTTTTTACCTTCCCTCCATTCTTTCATTCTATTCTGCACATATTTATTTACTGTCACTGTGTTCCAGGTACCATGCCACTTCTGGTTAGCAGAAAACAGCAAGATTCTTGCTCTCTAGGTGTTCGCCTGGTGGTGATTGAGTACAAGCTGCCTCACTGACAGGTTGCGTGGCCCTGGTCAAAAGTTTTTTCAGTCTCTTTAATAGATATAGATGCAAAAATCACCAACAAGATACTGGCAAACAGTGCAACAGATCATCAAAAAGATCATACATCATGATCAAGTAGGCTTCATCCCAAGGATGCAAGGATGGTTTAACATACTCAAATCAATAAATGCAATATATCTCTCAAACAGAAGTGGGTAAAAATCACATGATCATCTCAATAGATGCAGAAAAAAGCCTGTAACAAAATCCAACATCTTTTCAAGATCAAATCACCTAAGAATGTAAGTATAAAAGCCATTAAGGACAAACCAACTGCCAACATCATATTAAATGGAAAAAAAAAACTGAAAGCGTTCCCTCTAAAATCAGGAACAATACAAGAATGTCCACTATCACCACTTTTGTTCAACATAGTACTCAAAATATTAGCAATAAAAATTAGGCAAGAAAAGGAATAAAAGGGATATGTACAGGAAAAAGTCAAACTATCATTATTTGCAGGTGACATGGTCCTCCATATTGAAGATCCAAAACATCTACCAAAATACTCGTAGAATTAATAATCAAATTCAGCAATGTAGCAGGACATAAATTCAACACACACAAATCAATAATGTTCCTGTACACCAATAATAAGCCCATTGAGAAAGAAATTAGGAAAACATATCACTCACAATAGCACCATGAAAAATTAAATACTTAGGAATTAACCTAAGGAAGTAAAAGATCAGCAAAAAATAATATTCTGAAATTTATTTTTTCAATAAAAACGATAGTATTCTGAAAAAGAAAATTCAAGAGAACATCAGAAAATGGAAGGATGTCCCTGGTTCCTGGCTAGGCAGAACGAATATAGTCAAAATGATCGTATTTTCAAAGTTGATACACAGATTTAACACAATCCCAATTAAAATACCAATGGCATTCTTCACAGAACTGCAGAAACAATCCTAAAATTCATAGGGAACCAGAAGAGACCCAGAATAGCAAAAACAATTCTGGTAACAGTAGCAAAAAGGAAGAGATCAACCCTGACACTGAAGTCATGTTACAAAGCTACACTGATAAAAACAGTGTGATGCTGGCCCAAAAACGAACATGAGGATCAATGCAACAGAATAAAGAATGCAGAATTTTAAAAAAAACAAGCACATTCAACTATTTGATCATTGACAAAGGAGCCAAAAATATACACTGGAGGAAAGATAGTTTCTTTAATAAGTAGTGTCAGGAAAAATGGCTATCCATATGCAGAAGGTTGAAACTAGACCCATATCTCTTACCATGTACTAAATTAAAATCAAAATGAATCAAAATGTATCAGAGAATAAAATGTTAAAAACACTTACCCTACTGGAGATAAAATAGATAAAAGTCTTGAAGTCATAGGTGTAAGCAAGGATTTTTGAACAGAACCCAGTTGCGTAAGAAATAGTACCAAGAATCAACAAATGAGATTGTATCAAATTAGAAAGTTTCTGCACAGCAAAAGAAACAACCAATAGAATGAAAAGACAACTTACATATTCACAAAAATTTTCTCTGGCTATTTCTTAGATCACAAATATCAAGAACATATAAAAAATTAGAATTTCCCAAATAAAAGACCCAATCAAGAAAATAGGCAAGTGAAATGAATAGATACTTTACAGAAGTACAAGTGGCCATTAAATACATGGAAAAATGTTCAACATTTTTGACCATTAGCGAAATGTAAATTAAAAATATTGAGATTCCATCTTACTCCAGAGAGAATGATCATCATCAAGAAATCAATAACAAATACTGACAAAGCTATGGGGAAATTAAGGATTATTTCCACATTGGTGGTGGGAATGTAAACTAGTACAACCACTATGGAAATCATCACGGAAATTTCCAAAAAAACTAAAAGTAAAAATCTCATCCAGGCATCTTCCTGAAAATGCTAAAGACATCATAGTACAGTGATACATGCATGCCCATGTTTAGAACAGCACAATTCACAATAGCTAAATCTTGGAAGCAGCCTATACGTCTATCCACAGATGAATGAGTAAAGAAAATGTGGTATTTACACACCATGGAGTATTACTTCACAGTAAAGATAAAGTCGAGTCATTTGTAGGAAAATGGATGCACTTTGAGACCGTAATATTAAGTGAAATAGATCAGACACACAAACTCAAATATCACATGATTTCCCTTATGTGAAAAATTCAAAATTTAATAAAGAGCAAAATAAAAAGATAATAGGGAATAGAGAGATGGATCTTTCTCAAATGGGAAAGGGTACCAAGAGATCGGAAGAAGGGGAGGTAGGAGAGGAATCAGGATAAAAAAACGAAGTAAGATGTGTTACATATATGTACAAACTCCCCACAAAGAATGTAAACATTATATACTGGAAATGTGTACTAATTTAAAAAAACTATATGAAACTCTTCTGGGCAAATCTGTCCAGCTTCCTCAAGGGTTTTTTAAAAAAATTCAAATCTTTAAAATGTTAAGTAGTTAGCCAGGCGTGGTGGTACACACCTATAATCCCAGCATTTTGGAGGCTGAGGCAGGAGGATCACTGCAAATTTGAGCCAACCTGGGCTACATAGTGAATTCAAGGACAGCCTCAACTACCTAGCAAGACCCTGTCTCAAAAAAAATGTTAAGTAGCTAAAGAAATGTAGTATAAGAAATTGCTGTTGAAACTCTTTGCCTTGAGCTTCTTAATGCTGTATTAATCTGTGCTGCCTTAATAAAATACTACGGATTGCTTAAAGAACAAATTTATTTCTCAATTACTGAATGCTGGGTGGTCTACTAGCAATTTTTTCTGAGCCCTCTTCTTTGGACTTGTAAATGGTTACTGTCTGCGAACACATGGCCTCTTTGTGAGCACAGCTTGGGGGAACTCTCCATTATCTCTCCTTTCTTCTTGTAAGGACTAATCTTTCTGGATTGGCGTTCTATCCTTCTGACCTTACTTAATTTTAATTACTTCTTCAGAAACATCGTATTATGAATTAAAGCTTCAATATATGAATTTTGGGGACACAATCATTCTGCCCATAGTAGTTACTGATGGTAGAAGTCTGACCCCCAAAGGAAAAGAGAAGGCAGAAGAAAAAAGAAACATGGCATGGAGTAGCAAGAAAGTAATGTTAAACTGAACGTGGTGGCACACCACGCCTGTAATCCCAGCACTGGGAAGGCTGAGGCAGGAGGATCACTGTGAGTTTGAGGCCAGCCTAGGCTACACAGTGAGTTCAAGGCCAGTCTGAACTACATAGCAAGACCCTGTTTCAAAAGAAAAAAAAAAAAGCAAGGAAAAAGAAAGTAATGTTGGAATTACTATTTAATAACTATCAAAAAAAGAGAACTATCTAGGTATCTTCTGCATATAGCCCATTAAATAATAATCATTATTTTGTACCTTTGAATGTGAAATGGGTAGAGATGGCATCAGTACTACAAAAATGTTTAAGTATCAAATTTTTGGAAAGGCCTACTTCAAAAATACACATTTTAAATTAAGTTCCTTAATGCTAATTTAAGGCTTCTCAAATATCTCGTGTGTATGACATTACTAGGTTCTTGTAATAAACATAAATCATAGCTCAGATTTTTTTTCTGGCTCCTGTTGGGAGGCTCTCAGTTTCTGAGTAGTATTGTTTTGTCAGTTTTCTAAGGAAAATGTCAGTCATTTGATTTATTTTTAACAATAAATTTACCCTCCCTCCCACAAATTCCTGCCCTGGAAACCTGCCAAGCCATGCATTTTGTGAATGAAATATTTGTATTGTTGAGAATTCTATGAAACAGAGAATTGTTGAATACCTTTTACTAAATCATACTGTGCTTGAATCGTGTTGCATCTGGCACTAATTTCAAGCGTGTAAGTTTCCTTTAAATTCTTTACCATATCCTTATAAGCACAAAGCAGTTTTTCTTTGCTAAGAAATATTAAGGTTTACGCATAGTTTCCCTTATATTTAATATTTTTTCTTTAGTGTAGAGATTAGAAGTCACACCCATGTTATAAATGATTAATTGTAAAGTTCTTTTCAGTGGCTGCTAAACATCTGATTGATGAAACATTTCTCTAAATATAATGAAATTCCTTAAATATCTCTCAGTTGGAAAAAAGTGAATAAAACTTTGTTGAACATATAATAAATGTGCTTCTTGCTGAAATTGAGAATAATTAAGTGCTTTCTGTAGAACATGCCTCTTTTTCAACACTGAGGAAATAAAAGGTCAGTGACTTAGGTAGAAGAATTGAAATAAAGGAGTACTGAATTTCAGAAATTGTCAACATGCTTCATGACTAAGACAATTTCTCTACCTGGATTTATTTTTTAGATTTTTAGGCTAAAGCATCTACAAACAATGTTAATCTTCCAAGAAAATATTGAACAACTAACACTGACAAGAACTGACATTTGAAGAAAGAAAATTTTGGTTTGGTTTTTTTT